GGAACATGTGAAGTTACGGGCAAGGGCTCAATCATTACGCTTCCAGCGTACCCAAGTTTGTATGCAGCGACATGTCCAGGAGGGGCTCCGACATGCTTTTTACGGCATGCTTTCCATTCCCCTCGCCCACCTTGCAAGAGTTAACCGTGGCTCGACGTATCACGGCTGTCCCCAAGATGCGGCTGTGCCACCCAGGCGACTTGGGTAAGAGTTCACGGCCCCACATGGGCGAGAGAGGGACACACCCCAGTTATAGCGTACGCAGGGCAACTAAGCGAACGTGTCAACCAGATGGTAACGCAGACGCCCTACAACTATTACCTAGACCTACAGGTACGCGGCAAGCGCAGACAAGGCTCGATCGCTAAGGCCCAACGTGGGTTTCCCACACGTTGAACCCCAGCCGTATGCACCATGTCGTGCCGGGGGTGGCGTCCTGTTCCCCTCACACCTGGCCTCTACCAGGTGACCAGCCCTCTGACGTCGCATCGGTGCCTGGAGGGGAAAGGATCCGCCCTCGGCGCGAGGGTTGCAGGGGACTTACGAGCGCTTGCCCATGCTCGCCACGGTGTTGCCACGCGGGGTAATGTTGCTAACCGCAACCGGTAGGCCCTTACTGCCCCTACGCTATGCGCGCACTACGGACATGTACCCACTACCCTCCTACCTACACCCTGTCCTCACACTCTACCTAAGAACATCTGCTTTCACGGCTGATCAGGCCGTACGCGTCATTAGCTTTCTACCGGGACCAACGACCAACGCATTATGAATTATACTATGAACTATGATAAAACTATGATGAATAAATATGTGAGAAATGACGTGGATCAACCACTCTTGCTACACGACAAAACACAAGTAATTATTAAATTTACCACTCTACGAATAACTGTGAGCAACAATAATAGAAAAGGAAAACTACTAAAAGGAAAACTACTAAATAAGGTACGACCCCTAACCTACTAACGAACCCTGCCAGAGAACTGCCTACGGGCCACGAGGGTACAGCCCACTGGGGGCCTTGGACACACCCTCACCCTTGGCTGCCCAAGGGGTTCGGGTGCTCCTCCTCCTCCAGTGGTTACCTGGGATGTCCTTGTCCGGAGGCAGTAGTGCTTGCTGTCGAGTACGGCT